GGGTAGGAAGCTGGGCAGTGACATGCCCGAACATGAATGACTGTGACGTAATGCGACGTATGCGGAAAAGAGCTTCCAAATTTAAAATCCACATGTGAGGATTAGATGAATCAAAGGCAGGTAAGGAGACCAACATAAATGTCTGAACTGTAAGTGCGGGAAACTTGGTCCGACATAGCGAAGGCACAAAAAAGGAGTTCTGAGTTTTAAAAAGGAAAATGGGGTCACCAAATATGTAGGGGAAAGGCCAAACTGGAAAGGCATAACTACTCATAAAGAACTCCGCCTATAAAGTAAGAATGTTGGACCTGATATTAGGTAAAGTACGATCCTCGGTAGGCCGTCAGTTAGTCGCACAATCCGAACGGAAGACGAAACTTAGTCGGTACAATAATTCGACGCGTTAGATCCGATGAGCGATAGGCGAGGCTAGCAGACCGACGACGATCAACAGCGCAATACGAGTAGCCGAAACCAGAAGGCGAATCGAAACCAGAAAAGTGTTTTGTCGGTTGTTGGTCAGTTAAAACAAAACTGTATAATAGATAATGGAAATGGGAATAGGAAGATACAATTGGGAAGAGATATGCACAATCGCTACAAAGGTGTCCCCCTTAAGTCGCGGAGTCCCCGACTCAGAATGCGACGGCATTCATCTTCATGTTGGCAAACATTGAGGAGACGAACCTTAGCCGTGTCTCCTTGCTTCCTGCCAAGACGAAAAGCAGACTGTATTGATTCCTAGTTCATGTTCATAGAAGAGGCACAACCATACGCTTTAAGAACTCTTGGTCATCTTGCATCCTTTCAGCCGAAGTATCTCTTTGCTGGACTCAGGGGCGTTCAGAGCAATCCAGCACCGATCACGAGAACTTGGTTTGATGATCGTAGAAATCTGAGGCTTCTGAGACAAACTATCATTGAAGGCTTTTTCCAGCCGACTTACTCTGTCAAGGACCCGCATTAGATCGCAAGAGAATGACTGGGTTTTCCGTTTACCATCGCTCTTGGTTTTTATCTTTCGAGGAGTTGAAGTCCTGCCAACTGATGTTAGCACTACGCATTTACTTACCACTGTCGCAAGCGTCCTGGCCTTAAACTCAGTGCTACTATCCGCAGGCGTCAGAGACTTCGATGATGACGACGATGGTACAAGACCGCTTACCAGAAAGGATGGTTGAGTCGGAAGCGAGTACAGGCAGGTAAGATCTCGGATACTTGACAGCAACGCGTTCCTTCGTTTGACTAGAAGTGGGCCACGAGCTGAATGTAGACACGCTGTTAAAAATACGCCTATCATTCAGTAATATTCGGTAAAGTCACAATGGAAAGTGATAGTCGAAGAGGTGGACAGCTGGAAACATTCATATTGAGGTAGTGATATCACAGCAGGCGATGTGCCCACTCGACACACAGAGAGCATGGTACAGTCTTTGCCGCAATGTAAGTATTTAGACGCCATGGTCGGGACAGACCAGCAATCCAATGTTTTGCTTTATTTCTTTAATGAATAGCCGTGTGCTACAACATAATCCAGTAAAGCTGGTTCCACTTGCAAAGCTTGGGAACGGCTAACCGAGGAAAGGATAGAGAAAGGTCTTAAAATACGTTTGGCTTTTCTCAAAAGAAAATCAGATGAGCCTTACTTTCCGTTACTGGACGGTGGGCTGACGCGAGACGAGTCAGGATCGACTATCCTAGTTGCAGAAAACTGATGAAAATACACAGAATAACGCAAAAAGGTCGGAACCCTGGTGTCAATATACTCGTACGTTATCTGACGCCAACGTTACTATATCTTTCAGTACAGTACGTCAGGTCAGGTCAAACGGATGATAAAGGCTTCCGCCTAACGAGCGTTCAGTTCTTGTGCCGGTAAGTGAAGCGGCCTCCGGCACCACGACATTGGATTGTCTCATCTTGCTTCTGCAATGGAATGAAGCAAGAACAAGAGCAATCTTTGCACTTTCATATGCCAGTATCAAAATACACTGCATATTTCAGTACAACTACAATACCTCTAGAAAAAGGATAGACCAACAATCGTCTAAGCACATTTTGAAGGCTTGTACGGTCTCAGACTCCACTAAATCAGAAGGAAGTTTATTCCAGAAGTTAACTGCTCGGTTTGTAAAAAACTGCCCTGATGTTCAAACGAGCTCTTTGATCTTTGAGCTTCAGGCGATTCCCGCGCAGATGGTCTGATATAGCCAACCCAACCAGATGGGTGAAACTAATACCACTAAGTCCCTTAATGATCTTAAACGTCTCTATCAAATCCCCTCTCAACCTACGCCGTTCCAAGGAAAATAATCCTAAGCTACTTAGACGATTTTCGTAAGACTTCCCTCGTTGACCTTCGATCATCCTGGTCGCAAGTTTTTGAATCTTTTCTATACAAATGATGTCACTCCGGAGGTACGGTGACCAGGCCTGAACACTACTCCAGATGTGGCCTAACCACTGCTTTATATAATGGCAAGAATACTTCTACTTTAGTGTTACTCAGCGCCCTCCTAAGACGAAATAACTCTTGTCGCGCTTTATTGGCAACATGGCGACACTGTGCCGAAGGCTTAAAATTGTTCACTACGATGACACCTAGATCACGGGCTTCGTCAGTACACCGCAATGATAGAGATCCCACAGGAGACTGAACTGCAATTCTGCTACCACTACTAGTCAATAGTTGACATTTATTGGCATTTAGAGGTAGATCCCATTGGCTCGATCAATTCACCACAGTGATGATGTCCTTAGCCAATGTCGCTCGGTTTCCCCTACTGACTAGCTTCAAGTCGTCTGCGAAGATATAGCAGGGATCCTCAAGAAGCTTTGGGATTGTCTGTTGAGGAAAGGTGTGCCTGATAAATATGTAAATATTATCAAAGCGCTGTGTGCGCATAGTTCGGGCAGGGTGAGGGTTTATGGTAAACTGTCGCCACCCTTCCGTATCACCAGCGGTGTGAGACAAGGACGCCCGCTATCGCCTTTCCTCTTCAACTTCGCCATTGATGAAGTCATGGAAACAGCGTCCGCTGGACACGACCTAGGTGTGGAGCTACTTCCTGGTGAGCGACTTCTTGACTTGGAGTATGCAGACGATATTGCCCTAATCTGTGATAGCTTCCAAACATGTCAAACAGCACTGGACCGATTAACACTGACTGTCAATCGTTTTGGGCTATGCTTTGCTCCATCGAAATGTAAAGTACTTCTCCAGATTGGCAGGGACCCAACCCTGCGCTAACGCTTGGTGGTGATTTGCTAGAAGTCGTTCAGGAATTCAAGTACCTGGGCAGCTATATTAACACCCGTGGGATTGAATCGTATAGCAAAAGCTCTAGGTGCTTTTGCCAATCTCCGCCACTTGTGGCGCAGACGCGACATTACTCTCGCCCTCAAGGGCAGAGTTTACAACGCAGCCGTCCGTTCAACTCTCTTATATGGCTGTGAAACCTGGCCCATTAAGTCGACAGACATGAAGAGGCTCGTCACATTCGATCATCGCTGCCTTCGCAGCTTAGCTCATGTCTGGTGGGAACACCGCGTGAGCAATGAGTGTGTTCGGCGTCGCGTATTTGGTGCAGGAAGAGCGAGTGAACCGCTCAGCACCATTATATCACGCACCAGGTTCCGATGGCTGGGCCACGTGTTGCGCATGCCAGCACACCGACTCCCGCGACGTGCATTGTTTGCGCTTTGTGGGTGCGGTTGGAAGAGGAGGAGGGGAGGCCAAGTGATGACTTGGTCGAGAAGAATGAAAACCCTCACTTCGAAGTTGGCGTCGGTTGGTGCATCCCGATTGCCTGGCTGGGGTCCTAAGGATGGTGAACACGTTTGGTTGGACACACTCGCTGATATGGCTTGGAGCCGGCCCCAGTGGCGTTTGTGTTGTGAGTTCCTTTGTCCATCCCCCTCCTGCTTAGCATCCCCCTCCAATCATGATCTCACCTGATAGGCATAATATAACTCTTTTACGGCAGCCAGCTGTTGGCTCTCCGGAATGATATCCATCCGTTACTGGGGGCTCAGCGGGCGTGCCACTGTTTGTTTTCCTTTTCTTGCCTTTTGTATTGCGGCACAATAGCTGAGGTGTTTTCCACCTCCAGCTAACGTGTAATGATGATGATCCTCAAGAAGAGGAGCCAGGTCATTTATAAACATAAGAAACAGCAATGGACCAAGTACCGAACCTTGGGGGACACCGCTGTAGGCATGACCAACACTAGAACTCGCTTCCCCAACCCTGGCTCTGAATATCCTTCCACTTAAGAATTCATAGAGCCATAGTAATAATTGAGGATGTAATCCAAACCGACAGCTTCTCAATTAAAAGCCGATGATTCACTGAGTCAAAGGCTTTACTGAAGTCCAAATAGCACACCTCTACCGATATCCCACTATCAAGACATCGGGTAATCTCGTCTAAAAAGCAAAATAAATTGGTAAGACGACTTCTTTTTAGGAAAGCCATGCTGTTCCGCTCTAATTAGATTGTGCTCAATCAAGTGCTCACAGATCCTGCTCCTTATAAGCTTTTCCAAGCATTTCAGCATGATGCTGGTCAAACTAACAGGTCTATAGTTAAGAGACACCGACTTAGAACCCCCTTGTGGATGGCAACAGTAGTCGCCTCCTTCCAATCACGTGGCAGCTTGCCTTCTTGAAGAGAATGGTTGAATAACTCCGCTACGGGATACTGAAGTATATCAGCCAGAGGTTTAACTATGGCGAGATGTACACTATCAGAAAAAACCCGTCCATCACCGCTCATGCTTATGTAATATTGCTTCGGTCCGGCGTTCCAAGATCCTCCGTGTCCGGGTAGTGCGGCAAGCTGCAATGCAAAATAAATACCTCGTAGACAGCTGTACGCTCGAGCCGCCTAGTAAGATGCCGATGTAAATCTGGCAGATAAGGAAGCACGGAAGAGGGAAAGTGCCGGAGTGGAATAGGAAGGTAAGGACAACAGGAAACGAAACCGATAGACCTCTCACCTCTTAACGTATTATCGTGACGCCGCCGAACGGCTACACTTAAAGGAAAGAGCGTGTAAAAAAGTAACTCAGCATAGGACAGGTGTTCTGGTCTGAGTGACTGTTACTAGCAGTGTGTCTTTGGGCGACGATGCTTAATGAAATTAGTTAGTGTCTGCTATTAAGGATTATACTTCCTTTTTTACCTGCAGCGCAGCACGCGAAAAATTACGGACATATGTGGCCGTAAGCCGAAATGCTTCTCTAGACTTTGCCTTGAATAAGGACGGTACCACGATTTGCACACAAATATATTTATTTTAAAGGGACGACTGCATAAATAATCACGCAAGCTTTTCTAAGTTATTTTAGTGGCTTTTTGTTTCTTTAGTTGCGTTAGAATGCAAAATCAGTACCTCGTAAATCCTATTACTATTTAGTTGCTCACGGTTTGGTTAAATTTATACGTTTCACTAAAATAAAAGCATGTTTCTCTGAGCTATTATTATATTTATACACGGCTGTTCCGTCGGCATTCCGCGGAACCGATCAGTGAAACGAGCCATAACATGATATAATAGATACTTTAAAAGCGTTGTCATGTCATGGTTGAACCTAATCAGCTAGAATAAACGCCGATAAAGTTTATCTGCCCTAAGAATACAACGTGAAGCTTACTGATGTAGCGCTTGTACATGATTTCTTCCCAGTTGTACTTTCTTATACTCATTTCCATTATTATTGCACAGGTTTGTTTTAACTGACCAACAAGCGACAAAACACTTTTTTGGGTTTCTATTCGCCTTTTGTTATGGGCTACTCGTATTGTGCTGTTGATCGTTGTCGTTCTGCTAGTCTCGCCTATCGACCATGATCCAACGCGTCAGTTTATTTTGCCGACTAAGTTTCGTCTTCCGTTCGGATTGTGCGACTAAGTGACGGCCTACCGAGGATCGTACTTTACCTAATATCAGGTCCAAGATTCTTATTTATAGACAGAGTTGTTTTATGTGGTTAAGCCCTTTCCGTTTGACCTTCCCACTACATATTTGGTGACCCCATATGCGGATAGCGGATAGCGTCGTCCTTTCTTAGTTCTCGGATCGTGAACATTTGCTTTCAATTTATCGTGAGGGATCGTATATCTGGGTAGTACATGCTGACTCCCGTTGTATCTACAGCCATTGATTCAATGTCAGCTATTGCTTCGGATTTCGTCATGCCCAACGCACTCTGTTTACACTGCTCAAAACTGGTTACTCAGGGCATTCAGTATATCGCTTGTGCATCCTTGGCCTATGGTCACAAGTGTTGTTCGCAACTTACGGATTCGCTTTTTAAGATCTACGCTGAACACAAAGGCCAGTTATGGGTCTGTCGGTATTGCATTGATGCAGCTGCCCTGGCAAGACGACCGCCGCTTCAGAATCTTGAGAGATGCTCATCCGTTCCTACTGCTAGAAAAGTCAGTAAGTGCAGCGCGATATCCCTCGGCGACCATCCAAAGAATACGACCAACCAAGTAGAAGACCTGTGTCGCACCTGTCCCCCTGACAACCTGAATACGTTGCCCACAGTTCCTCCATGCAGCGGGATTTTATCAACTGGTAAACCGGAGCAAGCACTACGGATCTCTGATTAGCCACCTCCTACTACAGTCGCCGATCATGGAACCAGAAACGAGTCACCTTGGATTTTTGCGGGAAAGAGACCTCCAGTTTTGACTCCGAGCGCCGTTACGCGGCCGTCAGTATTGTCCGAAACTGGTCTGATGCATCCTAGTAACCATTGTTTGATGATCTTTCATGCCCCGGAGTCAGAGAGTTCCGACCCGCGAATTCGTTATGAGCATGATGTCGCGCTCTTACAAAATTTGGTTGATAAACTCCTGGACCCCGATGAGCTAGGTATTCATATAAAACGAGTATTACTCGTGGGAAAACGAACAGCAAACACGCCTCGTACTTTGCGAATTGTTTTTGAAATAGACGTCACCCCAGCGCGTCTTCTGTCCCGACTTTGGCGTCTAAACGGCCTGAAAATCCACGTGCGTGCCGACCTCACTTTGGAAGAACGAAATCGCCTTCAAACTGCTACCATCAAACTTAAACGGCGAACTCAACAAGGTGAGAGCAACATACATATCGTAAATTTTCGAGTAGTGCAGAAGCGCCAGCTGGTAAACAAGCCGGTGTTGCTAATGGCGCGCGCCCCAAGCTAGTTGCCGGTCTCACTGTGGCGCTTACGAACGTTCGCAGCCTCACCAATAAATTTGATGAGGTACATCTCTGGGTAGAACACCATTGCCCAGATTTATTTTGTCTGACTGAAACATGGCTCCACGGTGATATTACTGATCCTGAAATTCACATCGATTGATACACGACATTTCGGTGCGAACGACCCAAGGGCGCTCATGGCGGTGTATTGTTATATATAAAGTCCAGCATGAGAGGCGGACTCATATCTACACATTATAGTGCCGACCGCCTATGCGAACAACTTTGGTGCAGAGTTACCGTTGGGCCAAATGAACTGAGAGTGGGAGCCATTTATCGGAGTCCTTCAAACACTTCCCGTGATTGGATCGACGTAGTGCAGCAGCGCTTGAACTGCCGAAATTTTCTGTTGCTTGGTGATTTTAACTTTCCACACGTTGATTGGCCGCATTATAAAGCTCTACCTGGCATTAGCAATCACGAATGCGCTTTTGTCGATGCAATGGCGGAGATGCACGCTGTGCAATATATCCTGCAACCAACAAGGCAGCTTCCGGGGCAACCTGAAAGCTGTCTTGAACTGCTTTTCACGAACGATGAGCAACATGTCGAATCCGCTAAAATATTTGAACCCATTGCGTCCAGCGATCATTCCACAATTTCAGCCGTCCTACGTTTGCCATCTGTTATATCATTACGAAGACCTCGTCGTAACGTTTGGAAAGCAAACTGGGATCGGTTGATGAGTACTGCGGAACACATGGACTGGTCATTGCCTTTGAATGACGGTGTTGAAGTGTGTTGGGAGGTGCTGAAGCAAAACCCTGTTCAGTTGCTAGACCAGTTTGCTCCTTTAACTCCAATAAAATGTTGGAAGAGGCCGCCATGGATGGATAGTGAATATGTTGTCTTGTCGAGGCGACGTGCAAAATTGTGGAAGAGGTTCAAACAAACTCATAGCGCTGAAGATTACACAGCTTACAAAACACAAAGAAACTGTTGCAATTCAGTGAAATTAAAGAAGCGTGCTGCTTATGAAACACGCTTATCAGCAGATGCGAAGGAGGCACCCAAAAAGGTTTTTGCATACATCAAGCGCAAGCTTAAGCCAACTGATGAGTTGCCTGCTTTGGAAAATTCGCTTGGTGCACTGTTGACCGCCGACATAGACCGAGCTATCGCACTTGCTTCATATTTCGAGGCAGTGTTCGACTTAGCTTCTCCAGCATTTCAGTGTACCCAAGTCGACGCCAAACTGGATACAGTATACTGTTCAGAGGACCAAGTCAGGGGATTGCTTGCTAAGCTAGACTGCTCCAAACCGCCAGGACCTGATGGCTTGCATCCAGTACTTCTCAAAAGGCTGGCACCTGTTATCGCACCTGCAGTGACGAAATTGTTCGAGGCCTCTTTGACACAAGGGAACGTCCCACGTGAATGGAAGCAAGTGATCGTACGGCCCTTCCCGAAAGGAGGAAACAGAAGCGGAGTAGAGAACTATAGACCGATTTGCCTGACATAAGTGCTGGCCAAATTGCTGGAGAAAGTGGTAAAGAAGGCGCTGCTTGAGTTCGCAGAATCACACGGTGTGCTTACATCAGTTCAACATGGTTTCCTAAGAGGACGATCTTGTACCACGAATCTTCTGACTTCCCGACACAGTTGGATTGAAGCAGTTAATGAGGGCAGGGGCGTTGATGTCTTGCTGATTGACTTTAGCAAAGCATTTGATAGAGTGAATCACTTTATCATGCTATCTAAACTCAACGGTTATGGCGTGGGTGGAAAATTGCTGAAATGGATTCAGTCTTTTCTGGACAAGCGGCAGTGGTGCGACCAGGTCTATGACTACCGAACGAAATGGTGTACTGCCCCTAGTGGTGTGCCACAGGGCACAGTACTTGGCCCAACGCTTTTTCTGTTTCATGTCAACGACTTACCAGGACGTCTGACATCTACTTGCGCGCTGTTCGCAGATGATTTGAAAGTTTGGCGGGAAATATCGACCCCCGTCGATGAAGATATACTGCAAAGTGATCGCCATACAATCTCCTCATTTGCATCAACAAACTGCCTTCCACTGAATGCTGAAAAGTCCGAATTGCTCCGCATTGGCAAGTGCTGTCGGGACAGAACTTACAGTGTCGGTGGACGTCTACTGTGCTCGGCTGCGACGGTTAGAGATCTATGGGTACTATCCCGATGGGACTTAAACTCGTCAGACAATACTCACAAGGTCTACTGTTCCAGCCTTCGCATGTTTTGGTCATTTAAGCGGTCCTTCCACTTTTGGTCGGAGGAAATTGCTGTCAGGCTATACGTCTCCATGGTGCGCCCACTTTTAGAGTACGGGGCACCGGCCTATTATCCAAGTACAAAAAGTGAGATGAGAAAACTGGAAAAGTCCAGCACCTAGTTACTCGCCTGATCCCCACGCTCCGAGGCTTATCTTACCATCAGAGGTGCCACAAGTTACATCTCCATACACTAGTATACAGGAGATTACGAAATGACCTCATTACAACGTTTAGAATCCTTCACTTTAAACATTTTCCTCACCTGAGGCATATGTTCTGTGTTGTGGATGCACCTATTACCCGAGGGCATTCTTACAAGCTGGAAGTTCCACGTATGGACAATGTCACTCATATTCACTGTTTCGCGCGACGTGTGATACATTTCTGGAACTGGTTACCCAGTTCCGTTGTTCTTTCTGATTCAGTGCAGTGTTTCAAACGAAGCATTGACAAACATTTTTCAGACTTGTGTTTCGATGCAGACGCCATGTTTGACCTCCTTTCGTCGCGTGGTTATGTCACGGCTACATTAGCAACCCTAAAAGACCAAGACACATAGTGCTTTCTTTGTGCTTATATATCGGTATTTTGTTTGCTTATTAC